TTTTCTACATTACCAAATATGGTATGGATTAATTGCCTAATTTCGACTAGAATTATTTTACCGATCAATCAAGATTAGAGATTGTTACATTTCCCCCCCTTAAAGTTCAACGTCCTCGCTGACTCATATTCACTGACTTTTTCTTGACAATTCTTTAGGTTTTCCATAGGTTCCCATGTAACATCATATAGTGGGTAACCTAACCATTTCACAAGGTACTGTGGCTTTTTATGAATAATTCTTTTGTCCAAGATCATTTCAACTTCATATTCCTCCTGATCATTTTCTGCTATATAAATAGGTGGTGGTGGAATTTCCCTTATGAATTCATCAGATTCTTTATATGATTTAAGAAGAGAGACATGAAACACTGGATGAATTTTTAAATTTGTTGGTAATTCTAATTTATATGCTGTTTTTGATACTTCTGCTATTATTTTATATGGACCAATATATTTAGGATTAAGTTTTCTTGTAGGTCTTTCTTTATTTACAGGCACATTAATATTTTGTGTGGATAATAAGACTTTATCACCTATTTTATATTCTACAAACACTGGATGAATTTTTAAATTTGCTGGTAATTCTAATTTATATGTTGTTTTTGATACTTCTGCTATTATCTTATATGGACCAATATACTTAGGACTAAGTTTTCTTGTAGGTCTTTCTTTATCTACAGGTGTGTTAATATTTTTTGTTGATAATAAGACTCTATCTCCTATTTTATATTCTACATGGCATTGATGTTGATTTGCATATTTAATTTGTTTTTCTTGTGCTAATATTAATGTATCTCTTGCTATTTTCATCATATTATTCCAACGATCTAAGAATTCATTCACAGTAGCAACTCTTGTTGAATTATTTGATAAAATTGTCACTGGGGTATTTGGATGATATCCACAATCAAGTTCAAATGGTGTGAAACCTGTGGAGACGTTCTTTGAATTATTGTATGCAAATTCTGCTGCAGGTAAGTATTCATCCCATTGGTCTTGATTGTATGTTGCATAAATTCTTAACAATTCTTCTAATGTACGATTCATTTGTTCAGTTTGACCATCTGTTTGAGGATGAAAAGCTGTGGACATTGACAACTTAGTACCTAATTGTTGAAAAAGCGCTTTCCAGAAATTGCTGGTAAATTTTGAATCTCGGTCTGAAATGATTACTTTGGGTAATCCATGATTTTTAAAAATAACTGAAAAGAAAATTTTTGCAACCTCTGGAGCAGTAATAGTTGTGTTAGTTGCACAGAAATGTGCTCGCTTGGTTAATTTATCAACAAATACTACAATTGCATCTTTTCCTTGGCGTGTTAATGGGAGTTGAACAATAAAATCCATAGTGACTTGTTCCCATCTCAGATTTGGTATAGATAAAGGTTGTAAAAGTCCTGCAGGCATTTGATTACTACTCTTGTTTCGTTGGCATTCATCACAGGTAAGTATATATTTACGTACATCTTTACTCATTTTTGGCCAATAAAAATTTCTCATAAGTGATTCACATGTTTTATCAATTCCAAGGTGACCAGCGATCTCAACATCATGATGTTCCTTTAGAATTTTTGTTCATAAGGCTTT